TTCTTGACGGTCTTGTTGCTATGGTTCCTGATGGAAATGTTAACGGCGATCTTCTCACTGTGGTAGTAGAGCTGCTTGTCGAGCGTCACCTCCAGTTCGAGCTCCCCGGGACTCAGCATGAAGTCCTTCCGGACGATGGTGCAGGGCTGGCGGCCGGTCTTGCTGGGCGCGAACTGAATCCTTCGGATATTCAGCTGAATTGTGGACCTGCGGTAGAAAGAGAGCTCAGGAAACCAAGTAATTGCCTATTTTGCTGCCATTTTTGTTGCTTTTTATCAGTTTTGTTTATTTTTTTTTTTTTTGACAATAGCTTTACCAAATCCATTCTTCACGCGAACTCACCTCTTGTGGTTTCGGTCGGCGTCATTTTCGCCAACGAACACCTTGATGTAGTACTCGACGCCGCAGGGCTTTCCCTCGTCCTCGCGGCCGGGCTGGATGGTGACGGAGGGCGGGGCCTGTTCGGGCATCTTGAAGGTGAATGGGTACGAGTGCGGTCCGAGCTTCTTCATGAGTCGCTCCTGCAGCTTGGTAGCCTGGATGTCCTTGGGAGGATAAATCTGCTCGGAGGCAAGGAACAGGTCCTTCTGGAAGTTCAATCCCATGACCTCGTCCTCCTCGCGACCATACCTGAAGCTGCACACCAGCTGTCCGAACACCTTGCGTCCGTCAAGGTAAGATGGGTCCAGCACCAACACGCCATCTGTCTCAGGCAAATATTGTCAGTGGTTGAAATATGTCAGCTGATTATATGATGCTCAGTATTACCCTCTGGGAGATTACTTATATATGCTTAGATTTTTCTCGCTTACTCCTGCACTCGATCTAAATATCAAAACACAAAACAAAGATAAGCTTCGGGGAACACTGAAAGACTTAAAAAAGATTGAAAAGATCGCTATAAAAAGGTTATTTATCGACGATTATCATAGTTTAAAATTGCTGCAAACAAAGGGAACACATTTTATTCTTATATATTCACTGCCAGTTATTTACAGCTAGTAATCCAGTAATACTGAAATATTTCCCAGCCATCGTATCCGAATAATCTCATTTTGTTTTTTTCTTCCTTTATTTTTATTATGACCATCTGTGAATGATTCATGGAATAAAACACACACATTAAACCTACATTCCTGGAAATGAATCTAGTATCTCACGAATGGGGCATGCGCAAAGTTGACGTTTATGAACTGATGGCATAAATGATAATATGGAAGAAGAGGATAAGAATGATACTAGGAATGACAGGCATCATAATGTTCTTTCATTCCATTCTTTCATATTCTAATCATCCGCTGTATCATACCACCAGTTCCTAAAGGCCAACTTCGCGGATATAAGGAGTGCCGTGGCAACTGAATTTTCACTCATATTTTTTCAACCTGTGGCGTAAACTGTGTATATCCTATTCGCATATATGAGGCATTTTATATCTTCCTCTAATTCATACCCTTTTATCAACCCGTGACATAAGACACTCACCAACGGGGTCGACGGCAGACACATGGTCAACGAAGTCACGGCGACCGAGGTAGATGGTCAGCTTGCCGTTGGGGGCTGCCTTCTTGAAGACCTTGAACTGGACAACCATCTTGGAGGTGAAGTTTGGTGTAACTGGCGAAAATTGTAATAAAAGAGGTGGGAGTAGTGCTGAAAGAGTGGCTTCGTCGCCCTCGCTGGTTCATTTATATAACCCCGCCAATGGGGGCTAACAGGATCATCCTCTGACGTGTGCTGTCATGAGTTTGCGACCTTGGACATTTGCAATAAGCGGAAGTGAAAGTGTAACCTTTTAGCCATTTGGTATTTCTAGAAAATAACTTCAACTCAGAAATTCTCCCCTCTTGATTAAATAGAATATCAGTAAGAAAAAGATTGGGATTGTGAAATTAATAGGCTATAGAAGGCGAAAGTCTCATTCAATTACTCAATGAAAAGTAGTGTGACTTCGTACGGATTCCGAAACCTTGTACTTAGGACAGTCCAGGAACCGGTAGTGTACTTTCCTACTGATGAAGTACAATCCTACTTCCTCTGAAGTTTTTGTTCCCTCCGAATGGTAAGATAACACCACCAAGAATCCTAAAATATGGGTTACTGATGTGGACAAATATAGCACAAATATATAAGTAAATAATAGTAGTACCAATAACAATGATAAGGATGATAGTAATGATAAAAATGATAATAATAATGACGATGGTTATGGCAATGATGATAAAGAATTACAACAACAGCAATACGAATATTTATACTTATATTGATACTGGTACTGCTACTAATAGTGATGATAATAATAGCAATAATATCAATAATGATAACACTAACGATAATGATGATGGTGGTAATAATAATAATTTGAATAACAAATGATGATAATAAATTTATATGTGATAATAGTAGAAATAATTATAATGAAAATACTACTGCTACTACTATTACTAATAATAATGATGACAGTGATAATAATTATGATAATAACTATAGTTGTAATGATAACGATCATAATGATAATATCGCTTATCATTACATTATTATAGCTATTACTATTATAATTATCATTATCATTATTACTCTTATTGTTAATTTTATCATTATTATTATCATTGTCATTATTATTATTATTATTATTATTATTATTATTATTATTATTATTATTATTATTATTATTATTATTATTATTATTATTATTATTATTATTATTATTATCATTATTATTATTATTATTATATTATTATTATTATTATTTATTATATTATTATTATTATCATTATTATCATATTATTATTATATTATTATTATTATTATTATTATTATTATTATTATTATTATTATTATTATTATCATTATCATTATTATTGCTATTATTATTATTATTATTATAGATATTATCACCATTATCATTATCATCAACTACACCATTACTATCATCATTACTACTACTAATACTACTATTATTATTACCATAATCATAATGATTATTATATCTTAATGAAAATAATAGCTATTATAACAACCACAACAGCAGGAGCAACAATGATATTAATAACAATAATAATAATAATAGTGATAAAAATAATGGTAACAATAATAATAATAATAATGATAATAATGACGTTAATAAATAATGATAATGAATGATAATAATAATAATAATAATAATAATAATAATAATAATAATAATAATAATAATAATAATAATAATAATAATAATAATAATAATAATAATTTTCATGATAACAATAATAATATCAGCTGATAATAATAACAATCATAATAACAATAATAATGATAATAATGATAACAATAATTATAATAATAATAACAACAAGCAACAACAACAATAATAATAGCAATCTGATAATAGTAACAATCATGATAATAATAATAATATAAATAATAATGATAACAATTATGATGATAATAATCGTAATAGTATAAAACAATAATAATTATAATGATAATGATAATAACAAAAATGATAGTGATAATGATGATAACAAAAGATAGTAATGATAATAACAAAATTAATTGTGATAATGATAGCTGATATTGTCGAAAGAGAAAACTGGTAATAATAATAAAAGTAATAGTGATAAGAATAAAGATAATGATAGCAATAATAATAATGATGATGATGATGATAATAATAATAATAATAATAATAATAATAATAATAATAATAATAATAATAATAATAATAAATAATAATAATAATAATAATAATAATAATAATAATATAAATAAATAATTATAAGATGATAATGTAATAATGATAATAATAATAATAAGAATAAAAGCAATGAGAACAATGAAAATTATAATAATGTAAATGATAGTAATGGTGATAACACAAATACAAATAATAATGATAATAATAAAAAAGTATATAATGATAATATCGATAATGATAATGCTAATGATAATAAAAAGGCATGATAATAAAAATGATGATGCTAATGGTGTTGATAATAATGATGATGACAATAGCACTAACACCAATAATAATAATAATAATAATAATAATAATAATAATAATAATAATAATAATAATAATAATAATAATAATAATAATAATAATGATAATAATAATGTTTGCTATGAATTGAGAGTAGGTATAGTCTGTTCAGTTGACGCTGACAATTGGGCCTAGCAACATTTGAAATAAGGCTGCTCATTGGTCAATGGCAACACATTTTTTACTAATAAATATTTGTTTATGCATATTACTCAACCTACATGTATTGTTTATTTATAAAACCAGTCCCGGAACTCAGGAATGAAAACTTCCCACAAAAAGTATAAGGATATTGCAGAAAATCAAAGTTTATTATAAAAGTTTAAAAAGTGACGTTCTTATACAATCCAGAAATGCACGTGTTCTCAATCAACATGGATACACTGATCTAAAAACAACAACAGGGTCAATTGTTCAAATTCGTCCTGTAAACATTTAATAACACTTTTTTATTCTGCACAAATTTAGTATTTATCCTTTTCATGTTCCTTCGTAAATTATTCTTGTTCGGCTACGTTCTACATATTGCAGAGTAAATAAATAACTAAAGATGGGAAAATGGAACGTCTGATCCAAAGACATGTCACCCTCCCTACAGTAACTAAAAAAAGAAAGGAAAATAACGACACATCTTAAATAAAATAACTATAACTACTAGTATTAATAATAATAGTTGTAATTAGCACTAATTATATCAGCATATGTAAAGGCATACGCGTCCAGAAATGTCAGACCAGTTCCCCTTAAATGCATTCAGGAAATGTTTTGTTAATTTAAGCTTTCGTCTATAACCTAAGCATCGATATGTTCACGTTAATTCACTGCGATCATGAGGTAGTGTGCACTGATATGAGTTTATCGATGCTAATGTTATAGATAGTTAAATTAACAGAACTATTAATGAATGCATTTTCGCCTTTGGACGTGCACGCTGTCAATGATCATGATAATAATAATAATAAAAAAAATAGAATATTGCCAACACTAGCAGTAAAATAAATCATGATAATGATCAAAATTATGATCCTGACGAACATTATAATGGTTATTAAGTTATGACTGGTATTATTACAATCAGCAACAGCAGTATTCATATTAATTAGAATGATATGAAAAAATATACGAAATTATATAAAAAATAACATTCATAATGGAATTAATAATAATTAATAATCAATAATACTATTAGCATTTCCATTGTTATTATCACTACTCTCGTCATTTGTTTCAGTTATCATTGTTGTCATCACAATCATTATTAACAATATCATTTTATTATTAACATTATAGTTGCTGTTAACGTCATCTATTACGGCCGCCGCCGCCGGGTCGCGAGCCTCCAGCGGTCGTGAGCCTCGAGCGGCAAACGGCCAGACGATGTTCGCGCGACGATCACTCATTGTGTCTGGCAACCGGACTGACTCCCAGTCCACACATGACTGACCGGCTCGTATCCGCCAATCACAGTCAAGCTCTGTGTTCATCCAGCTATCTAGGCCAGTGTGCCATAAATTGAATAGTTGAGACTGTACCCTCGCCTTCTATATTCTAGTTCTAAGGAATGTGCATGGACTGTTGGCCAAGCCACACGTAAATTATAGGTTTACATTAATTTTACAGCTCATTGAATTTATTGCTCTATAGGGGAAGTGTCCAGAAGGAAGGAAGAGGAAATCACCCTTATGTATATATGAGGTTCTTATCCAGTGAGATAATCATGTACCTGTTGATTAATCCTTTTAGCAATGGCAGAAATGGTCACTTTGTGTGCTTCGCTGTCACTGTAGATATCTTTCACTTTCATTAGGGCATCCTTAGATGTGTTTGAAGGAAGTTGCAGTAAGCCTGTATTGGTAAAAATCGAAGGAAAGTCGTTTAAAAAGATTGTGCAATTGGACAGATCCTTTACATGGTTATAAACATACTCTTCTTTGACAATTTCCAATATATATATTTTATTGTTGAATGAATGTAAGCAATACTAAATGACACTGAATATGGTTGCTTAAGATGAGATTCATATTAATGCTAATAGACTGTCGCTTCATACTTTAACTTTTCAGCAAGCCGGTCATCGGAAGTAGTAACAGTTAACAGAATTATGAAAAAATATCGTGTTGACTCATCTGGTAAATTATTCAGTGTACCAACTCTAGTCGTTCCTATGCGGATCTCCTTTACTGAAGCATTAAAAAGATATCACAAGAAACTTACAAAATATGTATCAAGAATAGCGTTTAACAGTAAAAATAAAATTAAGCATGAGAAATTGTATTTGATCATATACCGTTGATGAAAATAACTATTAATAACTATATTCTTATTGTTATTTCATCATCATCATCATCATCATTATTTTTATTATTATTATTATTATATATATGTTTTGTTATATTTTATCATTATTTTCAATGATATTATCATTATTATCATCATTATCATTATCATTATTCTTGTTATTGTTATTATTATTGTAATAATTACTATTATTATAATTAATCTTAGTGTTATATTTTTATCAGAATCATCGTTATTATTGTCATTATTATATTTATCATTATTATTATCATTATTATTATTATTATTATCATTATCTATTATTATTAATTATCATTATTATTATTATTATTATTTATTAATTATTATTATTATTATTATTAATTATTATTATTATTATCATTATTTCATTATATTATTATCACTATTATATATCATTATTATTATTATTATTATTATTATTATTATTATTATTATTATTATGGTTATCATTATTATTAACGATTATTATTTTAATCATCATTATTATCATCATGGTTATAATTATTATCATTATATTTTTTATTATCATTATTATTATTCTTGTTGTTGTTATTATTATCATTATTATTTTCTTATTATTATTATCACTATTATTGTTCCTATTATTATCATTATTATTATTATTATCTTCATTATCGTTACTTTAGCATTGTTAATATTATTATCCATTAATATCATTATCATTATTATTACTATTGTTATTATCATTATTATTATTTATACTATTAGTGGCTAGTATTATTACTATCATTACTATTACTTTTGCGATTATTATAATTTTTATTATAATTATCATTTTTGTTAGAATCATTATCATTATTTTCATTATGATCATAATCATTATGTGAATACAAGGTTGTATAATTTATCTTTACCGAGGACGTAACTAAACAAATATAGCCATATTCATTTAGTAATATAGAAAAAACATATCACCAATTCATAAGATCATTTCACAAAATATAATATATATATATGCCAGTTCATCCGTGCTCATAGGTGTAATCTTCTCCCCGAGTCCTCTATAGCACACAGCGTAAAACTGGCGGTCACGTGATCACTTCCCGGAACAGTAGTGGCGTGACTAGCTCACGACTCGAACGAACCACGAAGCTTAGAAGCTTAGAAGCAGCTGCACGATAGACCGAATCCTTAAGAAGCCTTAAAGCATATATAACCCTTCACCATTTACATATTATTACAATAATCATTATAATTACTATCATTATTACTATTATTATTATCACTATTACTACCAGTATCATCATTGTTGATTTTATTATTCTTATTGTTATGATTTTTTCTTCTTTTTATTATTATCATTATTGTTATTATTATTATTATTATTTATTATTATATTATTATATTATTATTATTTATTATTATTATATTATTTATCATTATCATTATTATCATTATCATCATCATTATTATTATATATTATTATTATTATTGCATTATCATTAATATTATTATCATTTATATCATTATTGTTATCAGCATCGTCATTTTTATCATTATCATCATCGTCATTATCATGATTATCATTATCATTATTATCATCATTGCAATTATTGTGATTATCATTGATACATACCATCATTAACTTAATCATCATTATTGTTTTTATTATCGTTATTATTTCTATCATTTTCATTTCATCATCATTATCTTATCAAGTATCTTTATCATTATTGTTTTCATTATTCATTGTTATTATTTATCATCCTCGTCATCATCATCATTAATCATGATCATCATACCCATCATCACCATTCTGTTATTAATACCAACAGTTGTGTCATCATCATCATTTTCATATCATAATTATCATTTTTAGATCATCATTATTACTGTTATTGTTACTACTGATAGTGTCACCATCAGCATTAGTAGTAGTTGTATGTCAACAAAACAGAACCATAAATAAGTGAGAGATAAGGAAAAGGCGGATTAAAATGGTTCTTTATCATTTCTGCCGTCCGATGAGGAGTGTAACCTGTCTCGAAACGTGACGCTTTATATAAATCGTTTCCACAGTTCCCCGTTTCGTCTCTGTACACATGCGACGCCATCTTGATTCATCAGCTTTGATGGTATTATTAACCTTGTTTTTTGATGTTGATGTGTCACTTTGGTCGTAATTTCGTATTTTATAATGGTGATGATTATCGGTATCATTAACTGTAATATCAATATTGGTCCTATAGTTTTTGTTATAATCATCATTATTGGTATCATCTATTCTTAAAGATAGACTAGGTATTGATACTGTATATACTGTTAAACAGAATATTCGGAAACAAATCTTTGAAATAGTGTAAAATTATCTTGCTGGGTGAATGAAGTGATTATGCATTAAATTTCCGTATTTCGTGTGTTTTATGTAATCGAGAGTAACGAATGAATTATAATGATTGTGTAAAGATTTAAAGGATACACGTTGTGTCTTGCTGTCTCTTTATTCAAGGAACTACCTTAATTTGAACAGTATTGGTTTAAGATGTGAATTTGACATGTTTGCTTAATATTTTTCGAAGACAGAATAGATTGATTGAAATTAAAAATGCAAAATTATGATCACGGATAGGTTAGGCAGATGCGGAGACGTTAAACACATTTTCTTTTACGGTTTGCCTATTCTCACTAATTAGTAAGATGCATTATTCCAAACATTTCAACCGCAATACACATTATTTTCTATCACTGTTTTCAATTTATACCAACGGTCCCTTTGTCCGGTAGATTTTGGAATCCGCTTCCACAAATCTTACGTTTAAAAAAACATCACAACAGTCCAAATGGCTTTGCTTTTCTCACAGGCAATTAATCACAATAAACTTTCTTTGGTTTTCATCTTCATATATCTTTTCTTTGTAAACGGAGATTAACCGAAAGAAAGTAAACAGAAAGTAGACACAAACAAATATAAAAAAATGACAAAATGAAAATTAAATGCGACATTGGTTTCATGGTGGCCGTTCAGGGTCTGGATTCGCTTACGCACTCCTTTAAGATCACTTTCTCCGGTATTCACTGTGAGCAGAAATTAAGGGATATGAAGGTAAGCAGATGGAAACAGATAAATTAAAGAAAAAGAAGGAAAAGAATAAGGACTAGCTTAAATTCGACATCAGTCCTAAAAGCCGTTAGAAATCGCGGGAAATTCTGGTCAGCCTTTCTCCTCCACCTCGACAGTCGTCCTTTGAATTGAGTTCGGGGTCGTCACCGGGCTGGTCGTGGCGTCGAAAGGGCGTCTAGTCCATGTCGACGGAGGCGCCCATGCTGTCGGAGCGGAAGGACTCCACCTGCGCCTGGCTGTCGGCGCGCATCATGCGGCGCAGGTCGGGCTGCAAAAGAGAAAAGTATTCTGAGACACGGCTGAGACCACCATGCTTGCGGCTTGATTATCTATGCTCATGAAACGGAATCTTTGGATTGTTGAAATTCTTTACAATGTGCAAAGGGCGTAAATCTAGTTGTAGTAGTGTAAAGATTATGATGGAAATTTGCATGATGAGGATAGCTGAGAGGATATGATGATGACGATAATGATAATGATGATTTCAATAGTAATGATAATAATTAGGACAATGATATTAATGATAATGATAATGACAAGAACAGTATGATAGTGATGAGTAATCTATAATTAATATA